AAAAAAAAAAACAATGTGAGACGCATTTATTCAGATGCTCAGCAAGCGCAGAAACAAGCTATGTGGATGATAAAGTCAGATTTTTGACCAAAAAATCTGGCTTTCTGATTAAAAATGATAGATTTTGACGGTCGACAGATTTTGCTAGAGAAGTCTGTACGGTTTTTACGACATTTTGATAAAATTTGATAGTAAAATCGATGGTTTTAACAAAGAAGACTGTCCAATTTTTTACGAGATTTTGATAGAATCTGATATTAAAACCTAATTCTTTTCCTGAAATTACGGGTCAAATTTGTCGACATCCCTTAGCTACATTTTTCTATCGACTAAAGGCTGTTCACCTTGGGTACCTGCTGAATATACTCGACAGGTTTTAATATACAAAGTTGTTCGATTTTTTTTCAATTCTGGATTATATCATCACTTATCTGTGATACAAATTTGTCCGAAAAAAGAAAAAATCCATAAAGCAAAACTGCTAGACATGAGCAAGGGGAATGAATGAAGTCAGTCCCTTCACATTTTTTTTGATCTCAAGCTGCCCTATGACCCACATGTTCTATATGCAAATGTCTCTCGCTAGGCCTCGAATCCCACCAGGAGCCGGTTTCAGGTTTTAGAGCAGAAGTATACCAAATTCACTATTAGCTCACCTTGCACAGAGCTCGATAATGCCGATGAAGCAAATCAAATCGATCGGGACAGGTCTCTTCAAACGCATACACTGCACTTCCAAGTACCAATGTGCGTTTATCGCCCAAAAGATAATCAATGCATTCAATAAGTTCCGGCTGGAGACTCTCCTCCAATGAATATAATTTCGGTATTGCATGTGCGGCCACCTGGAAATTTGCTGCTAAAACATCTAGGAGAGTTCAATTTCATTTAAACGAACTTGTCCCATCCTTCGTTTTAACTTTCTGACTTCGACCGTTCCATTATTTTGATTTCTTTGGACCGTCCAGTTGTTTTAAAATTACAATCCGGCCTTCTTCTCGGCCGCAATTTATTATTCAAGTAAATATTTGTCCGAAACCAGATTATTCCCTATTTCTCAGGAAAGGTCGCAGGTAAACGCAAAGTAATTCGAGTAGTCGCAAACGCCAACAGTAACCACCCATTAATAATGCCGTTATAGATGGTTCTCTCTCTCTTTCTCTACTACCGCCAGCTGCATTGGCGCGATAACGAACGTTGATGACATACAGTTACTTAAGTATTTAAGTAGCAATAAGCAGAGCTGGAGCTTTTCTCCAACCTTTCTAACATAAGCAGACATATCACGGACTGATTCCCTTATCGCCAGCAGCATTATTGGTGCAATCATCGGAACGCGTATGCTCGACAAAACTCGTAGAGCACTGGCTCGAATAAGCTGATTCGGATCCTGAAAGTATGCACACTTTAAAAGGAGCGGGGGCCGGGGGCCTTGAATTAGAGGAGTCCCTGGGGGTGGGGGCACGAGGAAGGGG